TTTCCACATTGTCCAACTCTTCAATCTAGGAAATTAGGGTCAGCTCCTTTCTTCTAACCTTCCAAAGTGATCCCTATTCCACTCATTTATTTTAGATCTTAATCTTTGCAATTTCTTATGGAATTTGATTCCTTCCCACCTTATTCCTCTTAGTTCCTCCTTCCACCAATCCTCCACTTTCCAAATAAAATCTGGATGCGTCAACCACATGTTTTCAAATTTGAAAGGAGCAGGGCCATGTAAGAAGATTTATGTTCCTAATCTAATGGGGTGGTGATCTGAAGTGACTCTAAGCAACGCCCTGGAAATCAAACCTTCCCAATGACTTTCCCATCCTCTATTGAACAGAAATCTATCCAGTTTTGAGCATAGTGGGTTTTCCTGAAAATTGGACCAAGTGAAATTGGATTGCAACAGGGAGATCTCCTTCAATTCACACAAGTCTATGAATTCATTAAATCTCCTCATACTAGTGGTGATAGATTGATTGGGCTTAGAAGTTTCATTGGAAATTCATTAAATTTCCGGGTGTGATTCTCATATGAACATACCCATGCAAATATTTCTCTTGTTCAATCTGACTCTAACATGGTACCAGAGCAGGTCGAGACTCTATTTCTCTGGTGTTTGGACTGCAAATTCTAGGGAACACTGCTGTACCTAGAGCTTGTTTCCCTTCTGCCCATCGAGTTGTTCTATAGAGCTGCATGTATAGTAGAGAATCTTGGTTTAGTGCTAAACCAAGATTCCAGTTGTACCTAGAGCATGTTTCCCTTCTGTCCATGGAGTTGTTCTATAGAGTTGCATGTATGGTAGAGAATCTTGGTTTAGTGTTAAACCAAGATTCCATTTGATAATGTTTTATCATGAGAGCCTATGGACCCTTCATAGACTTTCACATATAATATCATGGCTCTTATAACTTATAACTTAAGTTATAAATTGTTTTACTGTTCACAAATCTTACGAGCTACGAAAGAACGGCAACCAAGAGTCAAAGGATTGAAGCTAGCTCAACTGCTGAAGACCTAAGAGCTCCAAATCAAAGCTTTTTACAGATCATCCACTCCTTAGCCTTTGAAACTAGCTTCTTCTCCTCTTATTTCTTTTTCATTTTTTTTTTCCATTTCCGTTGACTGATTCATGGTACGGAGACAAAGACAGGGTTAGCCCTTACCTGAATCGAGATGTTGAGCTTCAATCCCATAGCTTTTTACAGCTAGGTCTCAACACCAGCATATGTCAGGTGACATTTCTGACATTTTGCAACATTTTAAACCATGTTCCCAAGAACCTATGAGATTGCATTCTGACAATAATGCTGCTATGAACCTTGCCCACAATCCAGTTCAGTGCGACCACACCAAACATATGAACATGATACACTTAGGGGAGAAGATGTTTGCCTTATGTCAAGACTAAAGATCAACTAGCAAATTTTCTCACTAAGGGAATAAAAAAGAAGAATTGGACTTGGATGTTGAGCAAGTTGAGCATGATAGATATCTATGCTCCACTTGAGGGGGAACTTAGAAATATATAGAGATGAACTGTTGTCTTTCTACTAAAGAGGGACAAAGTTGTAAATTCCCTAAGTATAAATAGAAGAGGGTGGGCCAACCAGAAGGGCTAAGACACCCTATTTCCTCATTTCATATTTCAATAAGGCCCCCATCAAGCCAGGCCCAGTCCAAGTCCACATATAAGAAAGAATTGATGGTAGTTGTGTTAGTGGTTCAAAAGTGGCAGGATTACTTATTGGACCAAAGATTTGTCATTTGGACTAACCAAAAAAGCCTGAAGAATTTGTCAGAACAGAAAATCCACAACTAAAGAGCACCAAAGGTAGGCCTATAATTTCATGGTCTATGATTATACTATCGAAACATAAGTCCACTCAGCCAATAAAGTGGCTAATGCACCCTCCCAAGTAACTAAGTTAGCCCAACTAACCATCTCCATGACCTATCAAAAAAAAATACTAATCATCTCCATGCCCATCTACCCTCTACTTGATCTTCTTAGGCAAGGCTTAGAGAGACCCAAAACTGGAACAAATCCGCTCTAAATGGGCTCCCAAGATCCATTATCAACACCGAGCTTTACAGTTACCGATTCTACTATTTTCTAAAAGGTCAACTGGTAATCTCCCCTGAGCCTGAGTTATCCCATATCAAAGAGATACTCCAGCTATTTCATTGCTCTCTTGAAGGTGGACACTCAGGTATTCTTAGAACCTACCAGCAAATGATCGCCTACTATTTATGGCCACAGAAGAAGAAGGCCACCAAGGAGTTGATAGCTACCTATCCTATCTGTTAGCAGAATAAGTACAAGGCCCAAGCCTCGGTAGGGCTGCTGCAGCCTCTTAAAATTCCAGATTTGATATGGGATGAAGTCTTCATGGACTTCATATCAAAATTGTCAACATCAAAAGGTAAATCTGTTATTCTAGTTGTTGCGGACCAACTCTCAAAGTATGGTCACTTCATACTCTTGCCACACCCTTAAAAGCATTTGTTTGAGAGGTCACCAAACTACATGGAACCCCCAAGGCCATCGTCTCTAATAGGGACCCAACATTCCTTAGCAATTTCTAGAGAGAATACTTAAAGCTCTTGGGGATTAAGCACGACTATTCTACCAGATATCACCCTCAACAAGATGGCCAAACTGAGGTGGTCAACAAGTACCTCAAAATTTACTTAAGGTGCCATGCAGGAGAGTGGCACACAAGGCAACGGGTGCAATGGTTGCCCTGGGCTGAATTTCTTTTCTTTTTTTTATCAGCAAAAAACTTTCATTAATAACAGAGAAATTAAGTTACAATAGATAAAGATTGCAGAGGGGACAGACTGCAATCTCCAGTAATTAGTTACAATTCTGCCCAGTGCAATGATCTATTTGCCCCTTGTTTTGCTAGGGTATCCGCCATCCCATTTGCATCCCATTTGACCCAACCAAATTGAGAGTTGAACTTCCTTGCAAGTGTGTCAATTTCCCTGAAGATAAATTTGAGTTTCCAAGGTACTGATATGATGTTTTTGGCCCAAGAGATGACCAATAGTGAGTCTCCTGGGCTGAACTTTAGTGCAACACATCTCATGCCTCAGCCAAGATGACTCCATTTAAGGCCTTATATGACAGAGATCCACCTCTAATCCTACCATATGAGGAATCCTCAGCAAGTACTGCCGTCAATGACTACTTGACTACTAGGGAGTAGGGATAGAATCATACGGGCCCTCAAAAGCCAACTTCCTAAAGACACAATAGCAAATGAAAGCTTAATATGACTGCAGACATCGACCCATTGAATACCAAGTTGGAAAATTGGTTTTCTCAAGTTCCACCCTTAAAGGCAGACCACAGTGGCCAAAGGAGCTTGGTAAAAAGCTCTCACCCCCCAAGTTATATGGGCCATTTACCATCCTCGAAAAATAGGGGCTATAGTTTACCGCCTTGACTTACCAAAGAACTTGATGATCCACTCAAGATTCATGTGTAGCTTCTCAAGGGGTCCCTAGGTCCTAACACAACCCTATGTCTAGGGGTTCCAGAATTTAATGAAGGGGAGCTCAGGCAACAACCAAACAAAACAATTGACTATCAATGGGTAAAAAGTGGAAAGAAAACCTTTAAAGAAGCTCTAGTGATGTGGATAGGCCTTCCAAATGAAGGTAACACATGGGATTCTTGTTCCACCCTCCACTAGAAATTTCTCCAATTAATCCTTGAGGACGAAGATAATCCTAAGAGGGGGGAGATGTTAGGAATCTAGTTGGGCCCATTAAAGTCCAAGAAGAGGGAGGCAGGACCAAGCCAGTCTTGGGTGATCTACCAAGGTCCAACCCCAACATTCAGATGGAAACAACCTAACAGTCCTATCAAAAGGAATCTCAAATTGTTAGAAGTCAGTAGATCCAAACCGAATGGATTCTATTCAGTTACCTAATGTAAGACCATCTATGTAAGTGGCAGTTCACACACTCAATGGAACAGTTGAACTTTGACCTTCTCCCATTATTCTCTCTTTCTTCTTCTAGGAGGCAGTACCGTCCTTGAAGTGGTACTTGAGTTAGGCAGCAAGTCCAACATAATCATCCAAGAAAGAAAAAGAAGAAAAGAAAGGTTTTGAGAGTCAAATATCAGTATGGAGCACCCACACAATCTTATTTAAATAGGGTGAGCATAACAAAAGGTAAAAAGTCTAAAATACCCCTACACCTAAGTACATGAATAAACTAAAACTGACTAAGGCCCATAACTAATAACAAATAAAAGATAAAAGCATATAACTAAACAGAAAACTTCCCTTCTTTTCTACAGATATCAAAAGCTCCTACTTACTTTAAAGGCTCTAATGACTAGTATTCTTGGATTATTTTTTATTTATGCTAATTTACCATTACCAATCCGTGACTTGAAATTTTTCTATTTTAAATTGTGTTTCTATTTCATGTTTTAATAGGTTTTTTAATGATTTAATAACTAGAAATCCATCAGACTAATCCAAATATGGTTAAACTCAAGTTATAGTTTGCACATATGCCAAAGCTTTTTCCAACCACTAGTCCATTTTTAAACTCAATTTAATACAAATCAAGTATGTATTAAATTGATTGGTTGATTGATTTGAAAGGGAGTCTGAGAGAGCAAGTGTCAAGTTTGACAAACAGCAACAATATAAAGATATCATATAAAGGCCAACAACAAAATGATTAACATACCAATAAAGAGCCACATTCATCAAGCTTAAGCATACAATCCAGATGTCCAAAAAGACTAAAAACTTCATACACATCTTAAATGAATAGAAACTTCATATCACTACAAAAGAATACATCTAACTCCTGTAAAACCAAAGCCAGAAAAATGCAATTGCATCACTTTAGAAAAAACAAACTCCAACAAAATGGCTGCAGAAGAAAGAAAAACCAACAATTTGATGTTTAGTTATAAATGCAAACTTCTAATATGCATCAATAGCTAGCACTCACTGGAATGACAGAGTAGAACCCATTAGGAATTTTTCCAGAAAGCACTCCAGTAGTCCAGAGAATCTGCGAAGCTGTCTGATGTGACAACTCATCTTCCTCATGGTTGCTATTTGATCCTCTTGTATTTAGGTTCTCTTCTTGAGAGGCCAGAGAAAGTGATTGTAGTTTTTCCATAAAATCTGAGGGCCAACCAGTAGCATTAGAAGTCTCAGATTCTGACAGCCCTGCATCCTCTCGTGTCTCCTCCATCTCCTTGAAGACTTGCAATCTAAAACCATCTCGTCCCACTTCTCACCCAATTAAGGGCATTTTAAGTCTACAAAAAATTCTTGAATGACAGAAAAGAAGATAGCAAACTCCTTGAACTATGACTTCCTTGACCTTTAGGTCATATGACCTGCAAGTTAAAGGCTGCTCAGATATTTATGAAACATCTGGGTACAAATTTTATTTGGTAAAATTTCATAACACATTTCTATAGTGGCTAGGATTAGGATCTAATAACACAACTATTTCAAAAAGAAAAAGGAAAAGATTAAAGAACAAATTCTAGTGGCTCGAGAAATACACTATTGGCCCAGGGAAAAATGTCCAACAAAATAAAAGTTGCTTCTGAATCAGAAAGTTGATCTAGAAAGGACTGATTCCATCAGTTTCTCTTTTTTCTCTTTTATTGAACAACTGAGTGCATTCCCACTTTTTAAGGCCATAACTTTCCAATCTTTGCACCTTTAATACCCATTCTTAGAAAATATTTTTCTTCTCAATAAGAAACTAATTTGTAGAGCTTCAGATAAAAACCCAATTAGCCTACCTTTTAGATTCTAAACAACGCACATTACTAATCCATAGTTATAAGAAAGACAACAAAATAACATTAAGGCCACAGTAAGATTTAGAAGAAATTCCCACCTGAAAGACTGGTCGGATTTTTCCCCTGGAATAGACGCCAGTTCCAAACACATAATGCCAAACTGTAAACACAAAATAGATGAAATTATTAGGAACCGACCAACATGAATTCATACATAAGCTTCCCCATCCCAAGAAACATGGAATAGATTTATCCAACAACTACCAGAAAGAGTTTGACAATACATATATGCAGAACTTTCAATTTGGCAAATAGCTTAGCTAAGCAAGGGGTTCGAAGAAGACATATGTTTTGGGATCATTTGTAATTTTGTTTTGGATCAGCTTACTATAGCTGGTTTCTTTCACAACTTTTTGTTGTATCCATTATTTTTTTCTAATGAATGAAATCATTTCAGAGTTGCTGATCAAAAAAAAGTATATTTAAATTTTTAGCAACAAAAAGAAAAAGTTTTCTAAATTATCTACAAATGAACAATAAGTTAACAAAACAAAGCAATAGGAAAGCATATAGGGCAAAGGGATCCCTTCTAATTGGTAGAAGGGCATTTTAGTGGTTTTGGTGTGGAATGTTTCTTTGCTTGTTGGTCTTTGATTTTCTTTTACTTTTTTCAGAGCGTTTACTAAGCCCCATTGATATTTTATGGTTTATCATTATTTTAGGTGATTCAGATTATGATTCGTAATTTCGATATCGATGAACATTTCGCCATAATTGGAGATCTAGGGATCCTCCTCCAAATTGGGGCAGCTCTCTTTGGAAAGGCATCATGAAAAATCTTCCTGCATTCTTGGAAGGCGTCAGTTTTAAGGTTGGCAAAGGGCTGTCCAAGAGAAAGGAAGACACCCTCAAGGGAGGCTAGCAGAGCGAGCTGCGAATGGAGTTCGTGCAGGCAGGTCAGTGGAGAAGATCCTTGAAGATAGAAGCAAAAAATCTCATGTTCGAAGAGATGAGAATCAAGGGGAAGGCAAGCCAGAAGGTAAGGGAAGCGAAAAAGGGTACAGTTTTGCTGGAAGGATTAGAAGTGATCGAGTGGCTAAGACAGTTCATAGCTGAAGCCTGTTCAAAAGGTAAGCAGATAAACTGGCAGGATTGTAGTACATTAGAAGGGAGAAGATATGTTGTTGAATGTAAGAGGAATAGAAAAGGTTTCTTCATAGCTTTGGCTGAATTTTTTGGTAAGGGACGAAGGCAACTGGTGTGTCTACCAGCAGGAAAACAGAACCAAGGTTGGGGGGAAGTTGACTAGTTGCTCAAAG